CAACCTTCTCTGGCAAAAAACACTGAAGTGAACTCACGGCGGCAGGCTGCATCATTCGTTTCCATGACAGAACATGAAAATCTATATCTTGCAGTCAAGTAGCATCTAGTGTGAAGTGTCTCCGAACATTCCTCTTTGAAGAGAATAGCAACTCTTTAAGTCTGTGTGCGAGTGTGAGACAAGGACGCAGTGATGAAGAGCCTGTGTCTGGAACAAGCGGACTTGGGCTCAAGTGGAAAATGGTAACTTGATAAGCAAGAATTGTGTGTGTGTATGCAGTTACTGTACATGTAAGTGTGCCTCTGTGAATGCATGTAATGTCATACCTCTATGTGCACATATGCATTTATGTGAGCACATGTGCATGTCGTACTGTAAATGGTGCCGTGCATTTGAAAAAGATCCAGTCTCTCTCTACTCCAGGGACTAGCACAATGGCTTTTTATGCAAATCTATGGGAGTCAATCTCCTGTCCATTTTCCCATCACACAAGTCCAAATGACAGTCCAATAATTTGGGCTGCATATATATAGGGCCATTTGATTTTCAAATGAGAGTGGGCAGGGTTGACCCTTGCTAATAGCCAAGGCACAGCGGTAGACTTAATATCACAGATGCATAAGCATACCCATCTCCATCAGAGGGATATGGAGGAGAATAAAATGTGAGTGAGGGGGGCAGAGCTGGAAGATTGAAATAAAAAAAAGGTCCATTGGTTGATGAAAAAAAACAAAAAAAAAAACAAAGAGATGATGAAAATGAGAGAAGGGAAGACTCCTTTTGATGCATCTACAAATCTAGTCTCCTTTCCTCCTCTTCTTATTTTCCCTCCATCCCTCCCTCCTTCCATCCCTCCCCTCATTTAATTACCCCCACCCCTCAATTCTCAGCAATGGTGTTGCCAAGAAGATCATGGGTAATGAGATGGCCTATCTGTGGCTCCCCAGGGGAGAGACAGAGCGGTAGAGAGAGAATAAAAAAAGTCAGAGACAAAACAAAGAGAGTAAGGACAGACAGAGGGAGAGAGAGTGTGAGACAGCATCAGGAGACAGAAGGAAGGAAACACACTGTCTCTGTTCTTATTCTCTGTATGTTCCATCTAAATGTCCTCTCTCTCCTCCCTCTCTCCCTCCATCTCTATCATAAAAAGTTGAGCGTTTTATTAGCCTAAGATTCTGAGTTCAAAGGAGAGCGAGAAGGAAGGAAAGAAGGGGGAAAAATAATGAAAAGAAAAACAGAGATATGGAAATGTCCAGTAGACCCCGGACGTCCATTTCTGCTTGAATTATGATGGAAAGCTGAACAGACACCCAGGGGTGGGGTGGTTGTGGTTGAGGACAGTTTAAGATTTATTCGGACAGCCATCTGAGAAACAGGTGCCATGGCCTATGAGACACAGAGTGTGTATATGTGTGTGTGTGGTCCTTGACCATGCCACATTGACCATGAACATTCTCAATTCCTAATGACCCGGGGGCAAGCACAGTCCAGATCTCAACCTCAAAGCTCTGTGGGGACACACACGCACAAACACACATGCTCACTACGAAATAAACCCCCTACTTAGCCCTGCAGCACTTGTGAATGGCACTGACAGATTTACTCCTGTCTCCATGTGTATTAAAGCCAGTGTTTGTTATTAAAAATCATAACGAAGCCATACATCATCATATTCAATGCTAAGCTAAACACGGGCCAGGCCAGCTATGGACACGCTATGCTACGACACCATTTAATGCAGAGCTTACCTCACAGGCTGCTAGCATACAAACGCTACATTAAAATATATTCCATTTTGTCATTTACAATGATTCTGAGGGATAAAGATTTGCACTTCCTGTAATAATACTAAATTTAGGTTCAATACATACATTTCATTTGCAACTAAATTCTGTATAATTAGAGACAATATGAAAAAAAACCCATGTGGAAGTACTATCATGAAAGACAAAAAGGAACCAATCAGATTTCCTCCATTTCCTCTCCAGTAAGCAGCAAAGCATAGATCTCCGCTTTTTCCATATAAGGCCTATGACTTCCTGCGCCACCTGCTGTGCCCTGGACACCATATGACTTGATGTGCATGTGCTGCTAATGTCATTTAGCCCTTGCTGTTTCAAAGTCTGGAAAAAAACACTTTCAAACTCTCAATTCCCTTTAGAAGTACTCCACTGCTGCTACAAAGGAGCCATAAAATCTCCTGAATATGCTTTTTGTTTGTATCTTCAAATGGTTTCCCATGCCATAAAGATATTCTGTGTTTCCAAAAAGCCAGATGGTAAAGTCGTCAACACTTGGATCTTTTATGCGCCCGGCCAAGCTACCTCCATCCCCATGTGCTTTTCACCTCTGCCAATACATAAAAGGAGAGGTGTTTTTCTGGTCAAATAAAGAAATGATTTTTTTTTCCTCTGCTCTTGCTCTGCTGCTCTACGCTTTCTCTCCCCCTCTCTCTGCTTTACTACCGCATGTCCAAGGGTAAAATAGTGGGATTTCTGCCAGAGGCATTAAAATCGTCATCTGTGGAACAGATTTGTTGAAGCCTGTGGGGTAGGTGGGTGGGTAGATGACGTACAGGGGTGTATGGGTGCATGGAGGGGGCACTGGGATGACCCTCACTTGCCTTGGCTAAACTGGCGCTTGTGGAGGACACTCCCTTGCTCTACTTAACTTTCTTGGAAAGCGAACGAAAAACTAAATCAGGAATATGTTCGAAACAAACCAATTTCTTTCATTTCTGTGCTGTTGATTGTGTTTCTTGGCTTTGTAATTTTTAATCACAACTGATATAAAAAGCTTTGTTAGCATGAGTAAATGGTTGCCAATGTTCAGTAACGTATCTGGCTATTGCCTCATATTAAATCAGCTTAAACAGCTGCCAAAAATCACTCAACAGTCTAAAATACACAAGTACACAAAGACAGACACACCTATGCTTAAGTCTTCCTCTGACAGTAAAAAGGTTGTGATTAGTGTAGCCTAATCAAGCTAATCCTATAGTTTAGGGCCTAAGCTAATGTAGGCCAACTCAGAGGCTGTATTTCTGTTAAGAATTTAGAAATTTACAATATTTCAATGCAATTAGTGAACAATCCCGGAGGATAGACATCTCCAACTCATCCCATGCCAAGTTCAGCCTTTGCCAGACTGTCGGCCAATCCTGTGTCAATATGTACATCCTGTTTAAGTCAACTACGACTGTTTTAAATAACCCTAAGAATGCCAATGTTCTTAATCCACTCAAGCCTTGGAACTGTAAGAATCAGACGCAGATTTTCAAATAAATTCAATTCCTTAAATGTTACTGTGCAACACAGGCACCACATTCACAAAAAAATGACTGAAAGTAGTGACTAGTCTGGTGGAACAGTACAGTAAGACCCCTTTTATAAATGCAATGTTGCAGGCACAAATTTTAATCAAAATCTTTGTTGTATCTCATTTTGCCTCGTGCTGTATCAACCCTTTGTCAAATACAGCTCAAATAATAATTATTTAAAAAATAAAAATCCCACTTTCGGAAAATAAGAGCAAATACTTGTTACAAGGTCTTCTTATTATATTACAATATTGGGTAAATTGAGAAAGAAATAAAATAAAGAATAAAAAAAGAAAAACCATGAATAGAACTTATTTTATCTTCTCTTACCACTGCCTCTACATCTCTACAGTAAAGACACACACACACACACACGCACACACACACACAAAACACCTACCACTGCCAAATGTTGCATACAGTAGTAAAGAAATCCTCATTAATGTAATGCACTTGATCCTGTTCTGTAGGTCAAGGCCTCGGAAATGTAACAGCATCCTATTAAGCTGAAGGAGACGTCTGACAAACTAAATCACCTTAAATATATTAGAGGAAAGAGAGATGCAGAATATTGGCTGTGTTGGAATTTCTTTGCAAAAATTGTCTATTTCTCAGAGTGTGAAGAGTTTAATTAGTTAAGTAAGCAACTCGTGTTAGGTCACTGCTCTGATGGGCAACTAGTGTGGTCACCTTCTGACAAGTCACTACCAAACAATCCCAAGCAATTAATGATTCACCTATTGGGCTAAACAAAAAAGGAGAGTTTGTCCGCTGATCTGTGTGTATGTGCACATAAATGATAGGAAACAGTGTGTGTTTCTGGAATCAGTTATGAAATGTATTGCATAAAATGCATGTGTGTAATTTCATTTAAAAAATCTAAAGCACTTTTTACAATAAATAGAAAATACAAATTTTACATAAAAATATTTTTAAAAGTTTTTACTGTGTGTCCGTGCTTCATGCGGGGATCAAATATCAAAAGTTACATATAAAGAGTTGCACTTTCATTGTGTCATTGTCAAATGCAAAACTAAGTTCTTAATATGCATCTACAGCCTCATCCTGAAAACAAATTCTTGAATTATTCCAGAATTTTCTACAGCTTGTTTTTCAACCTGAAAAAAAACAGCTGAGGATAATCAAACCTCTAAAACATGTGAAACTCGCTGACAGTACGTGACTTGTGTATAATTAATGGTGACAGTAGTGCCAGCTGGTCACAAGCAGATAACATACCCAACATACCCGTATCTGATGAAAATCATCCTGGGTATTCTAACTGACCTTTTCCATTTCTGTCATTCCATTCTCATGGGAACTTTTTATCCGTGTGACACTGCACTTAAGAGGATGGGCCAAATTCTTTATTAAGAAAAACAGCTATGCTTTTCCTGACTCTGAACTTAAAATTAGTAGTGTTCCCCTCACATGTATACCAATAAGAATGATGCTGTATTGTGCTGTGTACAATAAAATATCAGTGTCCTGCAAAAACAATGAATCTCCAAATATTTTTATTTTCTCTTAATAAAATATCTCTAAATAATTGTTTTCATCCTCACATGTAGTCAGTGTTTTTGTATTGCTGAGATTTTTATTTCAGCAAGAAGTTGGGGTCAGATAAGTGATGTTTCTGCAGGACACTCACAACAAGGGTAAATGTATTTATTGTATTTACCTTGTAGAGGCGAATGGCAGCCTCATGCCTCTGGTTGGTGGCATGTAGCCTCAATTTATCCACGCTGTTGCTGTAGTAGTCACAGGCGTTGCACTTGAGGTGCACCGGGTTGCCAATGGCCACACACTTTAATCTCCACTGGTTGGCCTTGCCTCCCTCCTTGATGTGGGCCACCAGCTGGTGCTTCTGCATGTGCTTGTCTGTCTTGCAGTGCAGCTGAAAGTTGGCCTTAAGTTGCGTGTTATAGCTGCAGAGCTTGCACTGGTAGACGTCACCCACTACGCAACGCCACTCTTCTTCGGGCAAAGAGCGCTCGGCATTGACGTGGGCGTTGAGAGCTTCCAGGCTGTCCGCAGAGTAGCAGTTGCACACGGCGCACTGGTAGAGGCGCAGTGAGGGGTCGTTGATGGGTGGCGACAAGGAGGACAGTGAGGGGTCTGACGAGGACATGCCCCCCATTCCAGCCGAGGACACCAGGGATAGGTCGTCTGCCATCAGTTGACCACTGGCAAGACGCAACTCAGCTGATAGGTCACTATTCACTATGGAGAAAATGAGTGAAAAAACAGGTTAGACAGTGAAAGAAAAAGAGAGATGGAGAGGAGTTTAAATGGTAGGGCCTCAAGAAGAATTACATACATGGAAGCACAAAGGGATAACATGTCAGATAGAAGGCACAGCAGGAAGAGTGGTACATAAAAACAAAGAGGTATGACAGAAAGACAAAGCTCTGGTGAAAATGAAAGGCTCACATGCATAGGGAGGGATAAAGGATAGAGAGAAAGAGAAAAGGCTCTTTTTATTAAATGAAATTAAGTGTGGAGAGAAAAGTGAGTCCTCTACGCAGGCCTCTCTCACACAAAAGGATTTGATAAAATAAAGCCTCACAGAGGACTAGGGCTCCTTACAAAGTCTCGTCTATAAAAAACCCTAATAGGATTGAATCAGGATCAATTACAATCATCCTTTTCAACTTGCTAACTCGCTCATCAGGTAGCTTTAATTACTGCTCTCAGCAATGGTGGGACAACGGTTTGAGGGCTCCAGGCTTTTCTCACATCGACACACAGATTTGAAAAGCTGATCAATGCATTACACACGTTTTCTCTTTCTTCTGCCCACCCACCCACCCCAGGACAAAAAAAACAGATCTGCTATTCATACAAATGTAATTAACTCTTTCGTTTGATCCCCGCATTGTCTCTCTACGCATGCTACCAAAGCTCATCATGTGTTTTTTCCAGATAATATTTTGTTGTTTGGAGCACAGAGGATTTAACAGTTACATCTTATTATTTTTTTTTTTTCAGTTAGTAAGTATAATTCCCCTAATTAGTGGATAACAAAATGTGTGTTTGTGTGTGAATATGTGTGCTGGTTTTAAAATGTGAATGTTGATGCCAAATATAAGCAGATACCATTGTGCATCTGCATGTAAGCATCCATTATCTATGCATGCATTTAGTGTGTATATGTGTGAGTATTTGAATATATTAATACCCTGCTCACACCATCTAAACCTATGTACAGCTGCACTCACTATGGGGAGCAGTGTGTTATGAGTGTAATTCACTGAGAGTACATCTGCTGGCTGGGCTGTGACCTCCACACTAGATGAGGGAGTGGGTGTGTAACACTGCAGGGTCATTGTTAAATCTCTCTCACTCCTACGGGAATCCGCTTCCTGCTGTGTGAGAGTGTGTGTACGTGCGTGTATATGTGTGTACATGTGTGTGTTCTCTCCAGGGTGAGCGAAGGTGGGGTGGGGTGTGTATGGGGGGGATTAAGCTGACTTAAGAAAATTACAAATGAAAGATTAAGAATAATTCTCATGTGGCGTCTCATAATCATTTTTTAATCAGTGAGAGGGGTCAAAGAAAGGAGACAATGACAGAGGGACAATATGAGAGCAGAGATAAGAGGGAAAGAGAGAGAAGAGGGTGCAGCGGGGGGGGGGGCAAGGTAAAAAGGATGGGAGCAGAAAAAGGGAAGGTGAGTGGGCAGGAAGAAAAATGAAGAGCAATGAAGAAAAGGCAAAGATAAAAACAATACCGAGATATATGTGATAAAACAGATAAAACTGACCAAGTGAAAGATGAGCAGAGGAAAACCAAATAAAAAGCTTGAGGGCAAAAATATTTAAAGGGAAAATACTTAGTACTTTGTCACACCCTCAGCAGAGATGCCTTTTTTTGCATTTTAATTGCCTAATGCATAAAACTTATCAGATATATATATTCCAGTGTTTCATTTCAGTTCTAGTATCACTTACCTAGACCAGATCCAAGAGCAGCCGCGGTAGCCGGATCTAGCTGGAATGGATTAATCATCATCTGGGCATCTGGGCCGCTGCTGCCGGCGGGGTTCTCCAGTTTTACACCTGCCAGGCCCATGTTTTGAGCCAGGTAGTACTGGTAAAGCTCTGCCTCAGCTGGGGCCAGGCCCAGGTGGAGGCTGTGCTGGATCTGCTTCATGTTCTGCTGCAGCAGCATCATGTTGTGCATGTGTTTCTCACTGGTCATATGGATTCGCAAGTTCCGCGCCACGTTGGTCTCATAGTCACATACCTATGGGGAACGAGAAGGGATAAATTCAATGACTCTGGTAGTTTTTCACTTAAAATTAAATAATAATTTATTATTATAATTATTTTTATTAAAACATATTGTTAATTAACCATTTACATTTATATAAAGTTAAAAATGGGAATTGACAATAATACAACAAAAAAAGCTGAATACCTTATCCATAAAATAACACATGATGCAAGCATTTTAGTAATACATTCATGTTGATGAATTTCTTATGGTTTCTGAAATACTTGGAGATTATGCTAGAATGTTTGAGAAAATTCTGTTTTTTAATGACCAGGGGTCAGATGATGTGGCCAAGAAAAATAATAGACACAGTGACGCAGAGGGAAATAATTGGCTCATTGTGTAGATAGTGCAACAAGCAAATTGGTATGTTGCTACCACAGCCCGACAATGATGCTCTGTTTGTTTCATTACCTCACAGCGCCAAGTTGGCTTCTGTTTGGGTTTGGATGGCGAGGGTGCACCGCAGCCTCCACCAAGGCTGGCACTGGGCACAGGGTTGGTATGGTTGTGGTTGTATTGTGCCTCACTGCCACCGTTCTGGAGTGTTTGTACGTTGTTCAGATGCTTGTCTGACTGCATGTGGATGCTAAGGTTGCCTTTGGTGGTGGTTGAGTAGTTGCATACCTAAAGTGAAATAATTAATAAAATTATGCATGATAAAAAAATATGTGCATTTTTAACAAAAACTAGCTGATATCTGATGATTTAGTATTAAAATTCTGACTTTCTGTCATTGAGATAATTACATTAACCTTTGAAGATGTGATAGATACAAAGAGGAAGACAAACATATTTAATTGCGTCTTTATGCTTTCTGACACTGAATTTCCAATTGAGTAAAGATGTCCTGCTGTAGAGGTTGCCAGATTATACTATATATTTTATTAGCATGTCTAGCAAACCCAGTAATCAGTTTTAGTTAAATCAAATAAAAATAATTAATAAATAAATAGATAATTAAAAAACAAGAACATCGTCTTGATTCGGAAATATCATAAAGATGAAAATACAGGGGAAACAAAAAATCCATAGAGGTGAAAAATTAGATGGACAGACCTCACAGCGGAAAGGCTTGTATCCACAGGTATAGCTTTCGCCTCTGGCTAAACGAGGGTGAGGCTGTCCTGTGCGGCAGTACACACATGATCCACCAGACTCTGGATGTTTCTCCTTCATGTGGGCGTCCAGCGTCTGCTGGTACTTGTAGTGCCAGTTACACTTGGGACATTTCAGCGTCTTGCAGGAGTTGCGTGAATGCATCATCGTCATATGCCCTCCCAGAGACCGTGATGATCCCAAGACCGTGTCACACTTGGGGCACTCCACCCCACTACCTGGGGACCCTTCACCTGGACCAGGCGTACCAGGTGTCCCTGGAGTTCCAGGCGTACTCGGATTTCCTGTGTGTTGATGCAGAGGCCCAGGACTCTCATCATCTCTGCGCAACATCATCATGTCAAGGGGGTGGGTGGATGGCGATGACCCATCCCGTCCTGCCAGGGCTTCACTGGTTGAGTCGTTGCTGCTCTCCCGCTCTCTGGCAGTGGACAGGCGGCTCTTCTCCATTTCCAGCTTGTCAAACACAGGCAGGGAGGAAGAGGAGGTGGATGCAGGGCCTTTGCTGTCACTGTTAAACTTTAGCACACTGTTGGAAAGGGGGGAAATACTTTGGTTTAAGAGAGGGAAATCTTTGCTACTGGTGCCGTCAGCCCGCTGGCCTGTCATCGCCATGGTCATGGCCTGATCCTCCTCCTCATCTGCCTCCATTTCTACTCCACCACCATTGGAGTAGGTATCCTCATCCTGCTCTGGACTTTCTCCTCCCACTGCACCGGGCTCCCGCTTGATGGGCGGGTACTGGCTCAGGTCTGGCCCATTGGGTTGCAAAGTGCATGTGTCCCTAACCTGGCCTTTGCAGTCACTATCAGAGTTCCGGCCTTCCAGGTTACCACCAGTGGCAGCAGCAGCAGAACTCCCGCTGGGGGTTCTGTGGGCACCAGCCCCTCCCCCGAGGTTTGGGTTGGTCTCAGCCTTTGGCATGTTTTGGGTTCTGGGGGTTTGGTCATTGGAGGAGCTGCTGGCACTGCCCTTCAGGAAGGCAAATCCTGCCTGAAGGGAATCTGCATTCTCCCCACTACTGTGGAAAGCATTCCACAATCCGCGGAGCCCTGTGTCTGGCCCTAGGAAATTGGCAGGTGTGGGAAAGTGGGGTAGCACAGAGTTGGGGGATTTTTTTGGTTCCAGAAAGCTTATAAGAGGTTCTTTGTCCTTGCCGATGCCCTGGATGATGGCAGAGACATGCTTGTTGCTCAATAGCTTCTGCTCCTGCTCATTCAGGGTCATACGGTGGTCATGGACAGCATGTGTCACGAAGGAACGGCTGTAGCCAAAAGACAGCTTGCACAGGAAACACATCAGCACAGGCTTCCGCCGCCCATCGGCCACGCAGCCCTCAAACTTGGACAAGTCCACATTGTTGGGGACATCTTTGGACACACAGGAGTTTTTGGCTGCACCATCCGCTGTCAGATAGTCTTTGTCATTCTTGTGGCGGAGGTCATAGACACGGAAACTGTGCAACACGGGACCAGCGCCCACCAGCCCTCCAGCTGAGGTATTTGGGAAGGAGGGGTGGTCAGCCGCTAGGGATGTACTCCCCAGGGATGAGGCGATGTGGAAGGTGTTGATGATCTGGGGGTAGAAGGACATGGGTGCAGCGGGCTGCTCCAACCGCTCCCCCCCTGGGCTCAGGCCACTCTGGCCACTGCTGGCCTGGACACTGGGGAAGGTCTGGGGGGACAGCAGGCCCCTGAATTGGAGAGCCCCAGAGAGCCCCCCCTGGTTGCCACGCTGCTCTTTGGAGTCCTCCAGGATGAAGGCAGAGCCATCGGGCTGGTAGATGATCTCACCACACAGGTTCTCCACATCACTATCGTCTTCCATCTCCACCTCACTGTTCATTTCCCCCACTTCTACAGCACCCACCTCACGCTCTCCTTCATCTTCACTCTCCTCACCTACCATCCCTTCAACCTCCTCACCATCCTCATGACCTCCGGTGGTAGGCAGACGAGCATTGGGGCAGTGGTGCTCCATGTATTTTTGTAAACTGGAGAAGGAACTAGAACATTCGTTGCAGGGGATCTCCTTTGCCGGCACCACGGGAGATGTGGCTGGGGCAGAACAGTCCGAACCCAAAACTGCTCCTCCTCCTACTCCTGGTAAAGTCCCGGTAACACTCCCTTTGTTACCAGTAGTAAAGCTTTCTCGCCGACTCTGCTCAGTTAGAGGGTCGGTAGTTGCACTGACAATGGCGGGGGTAGCAGTGGACCTCAGCGGGCTCACAGCAGGCTGTCCAAGGCCATTCTCCGGCTCTCCAATGGCGGAAGGTGACGATTGGTTGTTGTTGTTGGCGTTGTTGCTGTTGGCGACACTGGTCTCCATGGTGACGACAGAGTTGTCCTCAGCAGCAGCGTCCAGCCTCTGGCCACCATGTTCCTGCTGCCGTGACGACACCATAGGGGGAGAGTCACAAGTTGCCATAACGACCACTACATAGGGATCTCATCTCATCCAGCCTAACAGGGACCTTGGGAAAACACAGAAATAAAGAATGAACAACAGAGATTTAGTAAATGTGGTTTAACAACAGATATTGTAGGCAACTTCTGAACTACCACATACTTTATTGTAATTTATTCAACTTACTCTCACTCATCCTTCACTCTCAGTACTTTCTCAGTAAGACTGGATTCTATAGATGAGGTTGGTAAATTCAATACTGGAAGCTCTTATTTGACCCAGTCCAGGGAGAATATGTTTGTGATTTCTTTAATTGTCACATTATGTCACATCAATGTCTTAAATGCCAAAAGTTCCTAAATTATAGCTTAGATGAAACAAAGCTAAACAACAATCTACCTCTGTATTGCTTACCTGAGAGATTAAAAACAGTGTTAAGAAGCTGGCACCATGACAACGTTTGAAAAGTGGAGAAATCCAAAATTAACTGCTCTCACTTGTAACTATGTCTTAGAAAAGACAGACTGAGATTGCTTGCCATGACCACAGAAAAAAATCCATCCTTAAACAAAGGTTTTGACTCCTATTGACCCCAGGGACCAGAGCTTGGAAACAGGGGAAATGAGGTATAAATGAATGAAGCAGCTCCCATGGCAGCCGGCAGTAGGGAAGTTTATAGGAATAACCCAATTGTCTGGTAAATAGACTCTTTGATCGACATACCACTGTGCAACACTGGAAGCTGGAAGCAGTTTTGCCTCTATTGTGTCCTGTATGTGCTAATGCTGTGTTAAAAGATTATGATTTCAGGCTATTACAAACTAGCTTTGCATACCCTCAAAAGTACAGTTGTGAAAAAAATGTCCAACACACAGAGGTAACATTAGTCAGTCAAGTTTGTCAAACTTAATGTAGAAAGGCTAGTTTTCCTTTAAGAGGAAAAGTGGACTGGAGTCTTCAATCAGTGGCTAAATTGGTCTTGGCATGTTCTCACCAGTTAGGAGTTGTTAATTAGGCAGCATCTATTAACCGATTAATGTCCAGACGGTATGAGTTAAACTCTGTGTGAACAAGAAAAATAAGACACTGTTTACTGTCATTCTGCTAAGTGTGCAACTATACTTGAGCAAGTAGAAAAGCAGCAAAGCCTGTTGGCAAATTTTCTAGAGGGTCACATACAACAGGAAATTAAAGAATATTTACATCCATAATGTAATGTTTTTTTCATGCAATACAGGAAAGAAAGAGAGAAAGAAACACAAAGACAAAGAGAGAGAGAGAGAGAGAGAGAGAGAGAGAGAGAGAGAGAGAGCTTCCATGAGGAATGATGTTTGGAATACCAGTGAGATGTTATCAATCCTGGGCGGCTTCCCATCTCTCAACCCTTCACTACTTCAATCTCTTGGTTTTTCACAACAAGGCACAAATGTAAAGGCACACACAAACACACATGCACACAATGCTGAATAAATGCCTCCTAAACCCACAAACGCACACACACAAAGCACCCCAAAATATAATTTTGTAATCACAGGCATAATTTCTCATCACCTGAAGAGAACAACTGAGACAAAGCCATAGGAGGAGATAAAGAAAATAAGAAGCATGAGAAGTGAACCTTCACTGCTACTTAGAAGAAAATGTTTTCTTACTCAGCTTAATGCAACACATGATAGCTAGTTTTGCATGCCAGTGTCTTTTCACTTGATACAGTACCAGCGCCTTTCAGATGCTTGCGTGTAAATGAGCTGGCATTAAAAGAAAGCTTTAAAGAGCCATGTTAACCTTTAACCCAATCCACCTGCTGCTTAATTCTCTCTCTCTTTTTCTACACTCCCTCTCCATCACAACAAAGCTACAAAGCAATTAGAGGATTAATCCGCAACAATCCAGGGCTAAACAAAGCCAGTGGGAGGGACAGTAAAAGCGTGAGGAATGAAATCAAACATGTGCGTGAGTATGTTTGTGGGTGCATGTGTGTGCACGCGCTATAATCAGGTCTAATCTGACATATCCAAGAGATGATTCCATGGAGACTAGTGACAGATTAAAAGAGAGAAATTACGTTTTTTCTCTTTGTGTCTCATTCAGTTTCTGTCTCTCTATTCGTGAGATTAAAGAAAAATTCACAAGGAGCAGAAAATGAATTTTAATGCTGATCTGTTCAGCATGGGCATATCAGAAGGTGGTAGGTGGATGGGTGTTATGCACATGACAAAACTGTCTTCTAAGCATAACTTTGTACAGTCAGGCAGCCAAAGTGTAAGCATAATTCTAGTGCAAACATTTTTAATTTCAGTATTTTAACTACTAAATCAGTGGTATTTAACATATGGATTAAACAATATGCTGTACATTTTTGTGTGACCTATCTGTACTGTCTTGATGCAGTAAACTCAACCCGCCTGTTAGAGCGAGACGGTTCAAGACAAGCGTTACAGTTTATCTGATTTTTTTTTTAGCCAATGACTTTTAGCCCATATCACAGATCCTACAGAAAACAAGTATGGTTTCCACACACACAGACACCTATCTACTAAAAACACAAACATACCTCTCTACATATTAACTCACACTTATAATTGTAAAGAAATTAGCAGCAACAACAAGGAGTTAAAACAAGTCAAATATGCTACATGAATGCTACAAGAACGCATGAAACTAACACAGTGTTTTTCCTTTAAGGTAATTCTTCTTTTGAACATAGCCGCACTACCTGCATGGGTTTTATACATCCACTCAAATTACAGCTCACTCAGCTTTTTACTATTAATCAATCACTACACTCAGCTAGCACCTAAAACAACACACTAGGCTGGCTCCTGCAGTCAAACATATACATTTTTCAGTGTCCCTCTCACTAAGGCTTACGCTGAATGTGATTGAGGGTAAAACTGTTCAGAAGCAGTGGGTTTGAGAGGTAATGCGACACATAGGACAGGATTTACTACTTGTCAGTGGTGTCACTTGACTGCTTATTTCATTTGGGAGCAACCCCCTTTAAATTGTAGCTCGGACATAAAACACTGAGGTTTATGAATTATGCATCTCCTAACACTTTAAGTATGGAATTATGCCTTATGGATAAGCCAATGTGTTAAGCACTTGGCACTGACATATCACCCATAATGCTAACAGGTTAGCGGCTGTTTACGTGTGCTGCCTGCCAACAATAACATAATTGTCCATTATTTTGTAACCTCTGGTTCTAATTGAATCCAATAATGTTGTCACCAACAGAACACTGAACAGCTGAACACTTACTAACAAAGTAAGCCTACAGTGTGTGACTAATGCTTAATGTTGCATTTTTTTCTAAATTATTTACATTTGCAGTGCAGCCTGTTGTAAACATTTGAAGTCATCCAGTTGTCCATTCTGTATATCTTAAAACGTTATGTCTTACTATCAATTGAATTCAGCATTTGCTTCTCTACCTTTCTGAGCTGAAAGTAACATTTTAGATACTGAAACCTTAGGCTTGCATAGAGATATATGATGACCTATATAATCATCTCTATGAAAGCTGATTATCTAGCACTTTGTCTCAAGAATAAATAGGTGGAAATGTTATTTGACTTGCTTCTTTTTGTTTTGCTCCATTCCCCAGGCTTCACACCTTTCACAGCAGTAGTGCCCACTACTGCTTCTTTTAAGGCAGATCATGTTCGCTAAGAAACCTTCCTCTCTCTCTCCCCCACTGCTTTCCTTTGCTCTGCTAACCAACCAGACTACTTTCATTTGAGAGAGAGAGCGATAGATAGACAGATACATAAAGGAGGAGAGAGAAACTAACAATGAAGCCCAGGTTTTTCCACACTGCAGAAACAGTTCCTTTCTTATAGCAGAAGAACAAAAGAGATGGCCAGAGCCGCTCCCACCTCTGTTTTTTAATTAAGCATGTCCCCTTGCTTTCACACGCATGCACATGGACACAGACTCTCTCTCTCTCTGTCTCTCTCTCTCCCTCACACACACACAAACACACACACACAAACACACACACACACACACACACACACACACACACACTAAGGTAATTAAAGTGGCAGATCAGATCCAGTGAGAGGCAAATAATAGCCCAGGAATGCCTGCTTTGGACACTGCAAGTTCTGATGGGAGAAAGGGGCTAAGAGACTCCTTGGCCTATTGTTTTNTCCCCCCCCCACACACACACACACACACACACACACACACACACACACACACACACACACACACACACACACACACACACACACACACACACACTAAGGTAATTAAAGTGGCAGATCAGATCCAGTGAGAGGCAAATAATAGCCCAGGAATGCCTGCTTTGGACACTGCAAGTTCTGATGGGAGAAAGGGGCTAAGAGACTCCTTGGCCTATTGTTTTTCTCCCTCCTCCCCTCTACTCTCTCTCCCATATCCCTCCATCTGCTTTTCAGTAGCTCCCTTAGAGACAGAGAGGTACTCTAAAGCAGGGGATTTCTCCACTTTTTTCAGACTTTTCTGCTCTCTCTGACTCAGGTTATTCTTAAAGCACTTCCAGTTTAGACAGAAGTTGAATCCTGTATACTATAAAATTCAGAAAGTGGACATCTTCAGAGGTTAGACTACAAATACAAACTGCATTTGTTAGGGGCTTATGTCAATTTTTAAGGTCATTTAGTTGTTATAAATGTGCTAATAACACATGTGTTGCAAAAATGTGTCCACAGTGCAAACCTGAGGTACTGAGCTCCTGGTGATATCAGTCTCCCTCCTGCTTTTGTCCTCCTGTCAAGACCATCACACATTAGCCAGAGTCGCAGCCTGTTAAATGCCAAACCTGTAATTGCAATGTCGCCACACTGCTGTCTTTGTTTACATGGGGATCTGTTGGGTTCAAATTCTTCATCACTAACTGCCCGACATTTTAATGCAAGGGTAGACAGTGCTGTTAATACTGCTGTGAATATTTATGACATCTGTAAACAGTGGAATTAGGCAGAACTGAGCTTTGGGATATGGTCATCTGAGTTCTAAAATGGTTATTTTCC